CTCTTCTCCTGGCTGGAGATGGCGGACTAAGTAGAGAGACTCGGGCCTGGGTGGGCTGGGCCAACATGCTTGGCTCGTGGACCATGTATCCTCTTCTGCAGCGTGACGAACTTCGGATTCCTTACTTCGTTATGACTTTGCTTTGGGCCTACCTGTTGGGACTCCCTCCAACTTCGTTTGGAACATTCCGCCGCCGTGCCTCTTTGGAAGACACCACCCCGGGCGCCGAGCTTCATGTGCTGACCAAACTTCTGCACGCCTGCTTTTACCTTGCTATGATTGCATGGCACGTTCTTGAGGCCTTCGTGGCACCCCCTCCTGGCAAGCCGGATCTGTGGGTGGTGCTGAATGCCCTCATCGGTGCTGGAGGATTTGGAATTGCATATCTATGGTGTTTCTGGAAACTGATCCAGCAGTGCCGCAAGATCGACCAGAAGGCAGCCGAGGAAACGGAGAAGAAGAACCAGTGAGGTTGCTGGCGGTGATTTCCTTTCAGTCTACTTGATTCTCTCGTGATACCCATTTTGATGTTCGGGACTGCCTTGGGCAGATCTTATCGGCGATAGACTGCGCGTTGTGCTTCTTGCACCTGGCAGAGATAAAAGCGGTTGCTTAAGCCTTCTCTTCTAACAATATTCCCAGAACATAATGACATAGATAATATACATTTATTGCACAAGAAGGGAGATGCTCCACGTCGGACGATGACCTATACAATACATGTAACCCAGAATAAACCCATAACCGAACACCATATTTGCATGCGCTGAACTCTATGTATCATCCTCGTTGTGCAGTTGTCCCGGCAGCAGTCGGGTATGGTGCAGCTTAGACCTTGAAGCCGTAGCCAGCCATGCAGGCCTTGTACTGCTCGATCAAGGGCTTGCACTCCTGTGTGGGGTCGTCGGTCTTGGAGAAGAGCATGCAGTCATCGCGGGCGGTCTTTTCGGTCTTGCAAACGCAGCATGGCTGTGACTGGGTCAGAACATCTGACTGATTATCTGTGTCGCATAGGTCATGAGCGTACCTTGGGCTTTTCCGCGGGAGCCGACTCGGCAGGAGCAGGGGCAGCAGCCTTCTCAGCTGTTGTCAGGGAGAATTGTCAGCTCTGAATGACTCCGATATACTAGCGAGACAAGAGGTATGGAGCATGCGGCGAGCATGGATGGGAGATACATACTGTTAGAGGAACCGAACAACCACGACATGACGAAGAATTGAATGTGAATGAAGAAACGAATTCAGTGAAGGACAATGGATAGAGAGCGACAGGATTGACGACGAAAGCGAACAGCAGTCGGAGGCAGAGCAAGACGAAAAGATGCTGAATAATGATGCGATTGCCCGGAAACGGCGGAGATGGTGCCTACAGTCGGCCGGAGCGGCGGTCGGGGAAAATTTATGGGAACAAACGGAAATAATTGGGTTGTCAGGGGAATGCTGCATCACGGCCCGCTGCTTCATCAAGTCTTTCTTTCTTTCTTCACTTTTTGCCCCTCCACGGTCGCATTGCCTCCCACGCTCATTGTCTTTGCTTTTCCTGCTACCATTCAGCCGTTGCTTACCAGGACCTCTATCGAGTCCTGCTACTTTGATTCTTTTGCACCCTTTCTGCATCGCACTGTGCAATTCCACCCCTGAAATTTACCCCACCATGGCCCCTCCAAAGGTCTTCTCTATCGAGGGCAAAGGCCTCAAGCTCGATTCCGCTGAGGATATCGAGTCTCACATCAAGCCTCTTCTCGAAGCTACCGACTACACTGAGATCCGCTTCGGAGGAAACACTCTGGGTGTTCCTGCTTGCGAGCGTCTCGCCGCTGTGCTTTCTACGCAAACGAGCCTCGAAGTGGCTGAACTTGCCGACATCTTCACCTCTCGTCTGCTGAGCGAGATCCCTGACGCTCTGACCTTCCTCCTTAATGCCCTTCTCGAAATCACCACCCTCCACACCGTCAACCTCTCCGATAATGCCTTCGGCGCCAACACCCAGAAGCCCCTCGTCGACTTCCTTGCTCGCCACACCCCGCTCCGCCACCTGATCCTTAACAACAACGGCATGGGCCCCGAGGCTGGTTCGAACATCGCGAAGGCGCTTACTGAGCTGGCTCAGCGCAAGGAGGAGGCCCGTAAGGAGGGCAAGGAGGTGCCTCTTCTCGAGAGCATCGTCTGCGGTCGCAATCGCTTGGAGAACGGCAGTATGGCGGCTTGGGCACGTGCCTACGAGGTGCACGCTGCCGGCATGCGCTCCGTCAAGATGACACAGAACGGTATCCGTCAGGAGGGTATCTCGATGCTGCTGAAGGATGGTCTTCGTCACTGCTCTGCTCTGGAGGTTCTCGACCTGCAGGACAACACTTTCACCATCATGGGCTCCACCGCTCTGGCTGGTGTGGTGTCCAGCTGGCCCTCTCTCCGCGAGCTCGGTGTCAGTGACTGCTTGCTGTCCGGCCGTGGTGGCGTCAAGGTTGCTCAGGCCCTGGCTGAGGCCAAGAACCAGAAGGTCCAGACCCTGCGTCTTCAGTACAACGAGATCACCGCCGAGGGTGTCAAGCAGTTCCTGCACGCCACCAAGACTGCTCTTCCTGCCCTGCGTCGTATTGAGCTGAACGGTAACATCTTCAACGAGGATGACAACAACGTGACGGAACTGCGCGAGATCCTGGAGGCCCGTCAGGAGGAGCATGGCCAGGACGATGACCCGGAGGACATGTGGGGTGTCGACGAGCTGGACGAACTTGAGGAGGAGGAAAGCGAGGAAGAGGAGGAAGAAGAGGAGGAAGAGGAAGAGAAGGCCGAGAAGCTTGTCAAGGACGACGAGGCGGCCGAGAACGAAAAGGTTTCCCAGAAGAAGGACGATGATGTCGACAAGCTTGCCGACGTGTTGGGCAAGACCGGTCTGTAGACGCGTCGGGGCTTTTTGGTCACATTTTTACCTCGCCCATCCCCTATTCCCATTTTGTCGCCTCGGTGCAACGGCAGTGACTTCTCGCGTGGCAAGAGCTGGATGCATGGTCGTCTAAACGTGTCAGGCCCAGACTGACCGCGTCCGGTCTGCATGTGGCCGGCAGGAGAAGTTTGGAGACGAGATTCCTAATCCAGCCAGAGCACGCGCCTGGTGAAACTGGCTGTTATCTGCCGGGAGGTGTCCTCGCCCCTTGGATAGAAGCAGTGCTTTGCTTTGAGCTTTGATGTTGCCCTATCAGCGATATGCGTTGAGGGTTAGACGTAGACACGAGCCTTGCCCTTTGCTGATCACAACATGTTACTGCCCGTGATGTATATAACGTTTAAACGAATGATGTGCATAGCTATGATGAGTTGCAGAGTACGGAGTAGAGGAGTGGGAGTAGAAGAGTCGGTGTAAGTCAAGCCGTGCCACACCACACTAGCACAGTAATGGACTTAGCTATCTTAGTCTGCCTAGAAGTATCTGTCACTACTACATCCTCTGATAAATAGAAATAAGTTATGTTGATATCCACCGATTTATTCAGATTGCATCTGGCGATACTCTCACTGCAGCCTAAGGCACCAAAGCGTCACCTGCACGTCACCTGAGATGAGATGAGCCTCCAACAATCATCCACCTTTACAGCTTACTGTGATCTTTGTCCTCTAGTTGATGCTACATCCCCTCAAGCAGAATCCTCGACTAGTAATCCTCTATTAGATGAATCCCTACTAACCACAAACCCCTCCCCTTCCCTCTCCCACCATACACCAATTCCATCTTCCCACATCCCGCTCAAACCCAACACCAATCATTCATCCTACCACAACCACCCCCATAAATAACATCCAAACACATCCAAACAAACCCAAAGCAAGATGTCCGCCTCCTTCCTCGTAGCCCTCGACTCCCTCGAAGCCACCATCCTCATTGACAACGACCTGGACCCCATGTCCCCCATCCCGCCAGACACAGTAGAAGTGACCGGTCTAATGCGCACGCTAGCAACATCCTCTCCGCACGAAATCCACGACCGGGGCGATGCGCATAAGGAGCTTCAAATGGAGGATATATGCTGCTCTGCGCATGGGTTGTCGATTCTTGTGGTGCGTTATACCCTTCCCATCATCCTTTGCCCTCCTCCGTGGATCTCATAAGGAGTGATGGAAGCTAAGAAACCCAGACCGCAACAAAAGACAACAAACAGCACACGATCCTCTTCGATGCCGGACCTGAAGGCGACGCCTGGGAGAGGAATGTCAAGCGGCTACGGCCAGATCTGGCGGATGTGGAGGTCGTGCAGTTGTCGCATTGGCATCGGGATCATTCTGGTATGTTATTACTTCGTCCATTTGAGATAAAGGGTGGTGTGTGCTAATTGATAATGCAGGTGGTCTTCAACGAGCCATTGAGATGATTACAGATGCTAAGAAGAAGAAAACCAGTGGGAATTCCTCTGCGACGGTTGTTGATCTTCACCCCGATCGACCGGATTACAGAGGCATGGCTATTGGACATAATATCATCTCGCTGCAGGCTGATCCCACCTTCGAGGAGTTAGAAGCTGCCGGAGGCACGGTGCAGAAACATGCAGATGCGCATACCGTTCTCGATGACTTCTTCTTCATCTCGGGGGAGATTCCTCGACGGACGGGGTATGAGCATGGGTTGAAGGGGGGGATGAGGTATGATGCGGAAGAGAAGGATTGGTTCTCGGATGAGGGGATTGCGGATGAGAGATTTTTGATGTGTAGGCTTAAGGGTATGTTATCCATTTCGGTTTGTATTTGATGATAGCTATTTCTGGGTGATCCTGACTTGATACAGATAAGGGCATAGTTATGTTCACGGCGTGCAGTCATGCTGGTGTGGTTAATTGTGCGCAGCATGCGGTGGATTCGCTAGATGGTGAGGTTCCTCTACATGCTATTGTTGGCGGCTTTCATCTTGCTACTAGTGAGGCGTCGCAGATGGAGAGTACCGTTAGGGATCTGAAGAGGTTGGATCCTGCGGTTATCCTTCCGGGGCATTGCTCGGGGTGGAGGGCTAAGTTTGCGATTGAGAGGAGTATGCCGGGGGCGATGGTGCCTTGTTCGGTGGGGATGAGGATTAAATTCTAGTCCACTGACAGATTCGCTGGGGTTTATTGTCATGCTGGATAATGTTCTTGGGAGGATGCTACTCTGGCCTGTGTCTATCCAAGACAACTTCAGCGACAATGCTCAGTCGAATAGTCATGCCATGGTGATAACTTGATGGGGCTACAAGAATTTCTGGGAGTCATTATATGCTCATCGACCTGGTTAGTCTACCATGTCGAGCTTGGAAGAGCATAATGGTGGCAGTCGTGCTGCATTGCCATACGCCCGTTCTTATGGAGGTTCAATATCAAACACAGATACCCACCATGCTCATTGAAAGTCCGTCTCGGATGATATCGCGAACAGAACGACATCTCTCGCACCAGATCTAAGGACCGCACCCTTCCGCTTGGAGGATGATAACAGACACCCCAGTGACACCGTTGCATCGGCAGCCTTGGTATGGAACTACGGTCACAGTGCACATGCTGGCGGGAGAGAGGAGTATCGAGGTATATATATATGGGGCCTAGAAGTGCTTGAACATATGAAATATATATATATGTGTGTGTGTGTGTATCAGCTCGGGCACGAAGTTGAGTCCGTTTGGATGGATGTTGGGATTGTATATATATCATTGCACAGTTGTGCTCTACATATATTTACCACACAACCACAACAACTCACAGAATCACCACTATTCCTCAACTAAAACACACCACCGTAAACCTTCATCACCCCTACAACTACAATACATTCACACAACCAACCCAATTCCTCCATTCCACCGACCCGAACACCACCATCTGACCCATCCTTCCATCCATCCATCCACCGCTCACCGACTGCAGTATGATGATGATAGCACAACATGACAGCACCACCCCTCAAGCACGCCAAAACTCAAAACGAAAGCCAAGTACAAGCCCAGCAATCCAGACCATCACAAACCAAGGGACCAGAAGCAGGCTAGAATGGCTAGAAAGCAGCAGCAGCATCATCACCCATCACTACGGCATACATGCATGCTGCAATGCACATTCCATACCGCCAAGATTCCGTCTATCAAACGATATATATTTACGGATGGTAATTTCAAATGGTTGTAATGTCATGCAATGCAGGAAGGAAAATATTGTAAGAGGTTGGGTAGGTAGGGTTATTGTGCATATACTTTCTATCTACTATACATGAAGATGAGGAGAGGTGGTATGCAGAGGAGGGAATTGAGTTAGAGTTAGTATGTTAGGTTAGTTGGTTGGATTCGTGGTAGGAGGTGATTCGCCTGTCTACTGACTTACTTCTCTAATCTCTGGTTACTTCTGAGATAGATCTATTTGTTTCTGGAGGTAGAGATGAATGAATAAGTGAGGTTGGGGTATAGGCGCAGCAGCAGCTGTATGTATGTGTGAGTGTATGTAGGAAGGAAATTAACATGTCGTGTAACACCATCCATCCATCCATTTAGTTACTATCAGTACGTACTATCTAAGCAGTACTGTAAGTATTCTATTCCCTCCCATTCTTACCATACATACAAACATATGCATCTACCCAGATTTCTCATGCTGTATGACGTATCCCTACAGAGCACAGCATGAAAGTGATGACGACCACTTACTATACTACCCTGCCAAGTATTCGATTCAATTCTCTCTAAGTAATTCCTCGTTAATCACTTCGTAGTTGATTCCCTCTTTTTTACCATTTATGTAGATGCCTATGATAAACAACCCATCCATCAAACTCTATATTAAGTATATACCGTAGCCTACTTACTAGTCATCTGATCAACTCTGCAGAAGGTTAACAACTAACTACACTTCTCACTGTTGATCACCCGCGACTCAAACTTCAGGCTGTGCTGTGCTGGGCTGTGCTATGATTGATGATGATGATCCCGTCCTTCCCCCCTCTCCGCTGGCTGCATTACACTCTACAAGGGAGGAGAGGGGCGGTGCAGGAGGCAGCACATACGCCCCTTTGCCAAGAACAATAAAAGGGAGGAATGCACGGCAGGGCTTGGCGGGGAGATAAGAGGGGGAGAAGAAGAAAGGGGTAACTTTGTTTGTTCGTTTGGTATGGAGATTATGGAGGATGAGCGATGAACAGATGGGGTTGAGTTATTAGGAGTTAATTTACTTGTGGTGTTGGTGGTGGTGAATATGGGGTATGGGGTAGAAACTGGTTTGATGAACTGGTGGGAATATACATTGATTATTCTTTGTATGATAGTATGCTAGTATGTGGATGGCAGGTTCTTTGTTGTATGAAATATGAAACTAGACAAAGAGATTCTTACTGTGTCTTTCTCTACTATTCTTGCTTTCTCTACTGTAAGCGAAACACGAAGTAAACGACATACTACTGTAGTAAGTAGTAACAAACTCCCGCCAAGCTGCATCACCCGTCATCACCACCATTTTCACCACCCAGACAAGTAACTCGTTGCACTGATAACAACAACCACCACCCCAAAATCAAGTCATTTTCATTACACTCTATAATTAGTAGGACTACAGACACTGCCTCGCTATCAACCGTGCACATCCCATCCTGGCAATTAATTATTCGCACATCAAAAAAAGGGATGGATGATAGACAAAACCGCCAAGAAAAAGCCTTGCTGAAGACTGCACATCTCCCGCTTGGCGCAAAACAATCTGCATAACTATTGGCTTGGAAAGGGGGTAAACTTACTACTACTTACTACTGTAAGAGGGCAGTCACGTTTTCGAGGGGGCGGGTTAAGTTACTTATTTGTCTTTTTTGCTTTTTCTGTTTTTGCTTGGCTGTATGGAGTTTTGTACGTGTGATAGTATATCTTGAGTTGTTCGGTTACTAGTAGACTAGTACGTAGTATCTCATTTTGAATATTGATTATACTTTCTTCCATTTCCTAAATTTACAGCAATCATTTCTCGCTTAGATGCCATCTTGGCAGATGTAGATAGCCAGGGCAAGAAAGGCAGCCAGCCAGCCAGCCAGCCCCTGATGAACTGTCGATCTGATATCATCTTTTCCACATCAGCGTCACTCCGTCACTCACCATCACATCAGGGATACGGATTATCCTGACGGGGATACTCACTCGGCAATTACTTCCTCAAAGTTAACCTTATTTCATTATTATTATTATTATCACTTAAGTTCAAGGAAAACTCTATCCATCCTGCCAAGTAGTAACTACTGTCTCACGACTTTGTCCGTCGGACCCTCATACGAAACGACGGAGTCGGAGTATATTAGGATATCACATCAGACATAACTTACTCCGTAGTCACGGACCAGAATGGTAGTAAAGTGTTAACCATCTGACATCATATGCAAATATACACATAGTTAACTACCTACCTAATTGATCGATTCTTCACACATCTAGAAGACAGTGAGTTATGTCCGTAAAAACTCAAACACCACCGATCTACATCATTATTATCCTCCCTCCCTCCCCTTTTAGATGAAATGATACAATAAGTTCCCTTATTGTACGTATGTATAATCTCCGTCTATAATTTATCCATGTGGCTACTGCATCATCATCATCTTGTCCGTTCGATTAACCTGCCCCTTTTGGATATATAAGGGTAGGTGTGGGTGTATCAGACAATGATCCGATAATTAAACTTCATGTAAAACATGGCATGTGAGTCGAGGGTGGGATGATGGAGATGAGATGAGACAAGACAAGACAGGATGGAATAATCGGTCAGATCATCGATACTTATTCTTCATTGGGTATGATGTTGATCGATGGTACCTACTTCTGATTGATGCAAGAAGGGGTACCTACATATGTATTGGATAGAGGATGTAGGCACGGGATATATACTGAAACAGGGTGATGAGTGTAGGGTCGGAGCAGAGACTGCTGCAGCAGTGTGCTGCAGAGAGACATGAATGGGTTGTTTTTTTGTCTTGGATATACTACACCTACTCCTACTTACTACTTACTACTACAGTCTACTGGCATACTCTTCTGTAGATTGCATCTAGTATCAAGTGTATCTCGCGGGGTGACCAAACCTGCACAAAAGTACTCGATACATATATAGTAAACACCCAGGTACGGAGTACTTAATTAGACATAATAATCCATGCTGGTGATCCCTTGGCATCGATCCCATCATACTCAAAGCTTTTAGTAGTATACTACGTCTGGCAACAAAGTTAAACATGTACCAGACAAACCACCACACCCAATAGACATGAGACATCACCACCACTACTACAGTACTACGTATCCCTACCCAACCCTCCTCCCTCCATCAGACACGTCTCCTCCAAAAAAGCAACCCGGCAGATTTATTCCCTCACTTCAGCCTTACATCCATCGCTTCACACTCCCGACACTCTATTCCGGAAAAATTCTTCACACCCAACATCGAACAAGAACATCCGGTCCAGTACCACGGTTCATACCCGACAACATTCAACCATGGATAAGGGGGGCAGCAGGAGGGATAAAGTAAAACGCCTGAATGGATGGATATGAACGGGCGAATGTATGATTGGAGGGGGGGTAAACCAAACTCTGGATTACTGGTGGTGTCTTTGTCTCCAAAACGGCGCGCCCGTGCCGATTCCCGTGTCGCGTAGTTAGCCCAGACCCGTTAGCAGTTTAGTTTACCACCCAGTAAAATAGTAACTAGAACTTCGGCGACCCTGAGGTGACTACTGAGTGGGAAGGGCCGAATATGCCGAGGAGAAAGGCCGACAAGGCAAGACATGGGCATTTCGCTCATACGCGCCGAGTTGAGTGAGGGATAATGGTGATTCCACCACCCACTCAATTTTCCAATTCACGCACTCACTCATTTGGGGCTAAACTTACTTGGGGAGTCGTGTGCGTGAGTGAGCGCATTTGCAGCGCAAATGGCGTTCCACCATCACCCCCAGGGTGGGCTTGTCAGCCCGGCAGTCACTTAAGTAACTAATCTATTTTGTCTGGTGGGAGAGCTTTGCACGAGGAGGGGTAGCTAGTTAGTTAGCTAACTAGTAAGCTATTTGACACAGATAAGCTGGTTCTGGTTGTTGCGTTGCGAGTTCGGTATCCCTCCATCTTGTCCTGCCGATATCCCGTTCCAGACCCGGTCGTTTTGGACTGTCCCATGTCTACTACTGATTTGACTAACTATTGGGTTCTCGCTTCCACCAGGGTATTCTTCCCTATCGGTAGCTAATTGTCCATGATGCAGTAGTTGTCACCGGTCGGCCCATGATAGGCAGTGAGCGACCTGAAGCATCTAGTGCTATCGATCCGGCTTGCCGCGCTTCTTTTGCTATCTACCTGGTCTAGTCCATTTAGACTGGGATATCTAGCTATGTCCGGAAAATAGCTCTCTGCATCGAATCTCTGCAGTCTAATTCTAGTTCTAACCAATTTCGCCGACCGTAGCTTACTTCCAAGACTGGCCAACAGCAAGTCGCCCAGGTACGGACGGGCAATAATTCCCCGAGTCGGCGAGGGCTCGGGCTAAACCCGATCCAAGCATACGCACAGCAGCCCGGAAGAATAACCAAAGGGCAATTGCACTGCTACAATGCAACCAAACTAACTAACTAACTAACCGATTTATCGGATTCTGCTGGTCACTGGGCAGAAGCAGTTCTGCAAAGCACGGCGCGTCATCAATAGATGGTGGGTTAGCTGCCACGGTGGCACGCTGGGGCGCGCGCGTGCGCGGGTGCGGAATGGAAATGAGGTTTAGAAAATCTCTCATACAAGCCAGCAAGTCTTCTCCGGAGGTGTCAAAAAGGTAAGGACGATAAAGCTCCTGCAGTAGCTCTTTAGTGGTTGTCGTCAGAGCGTTGGAGCTCGGCGAGGTTTGAGAAAACGTACGCAGCCCAGCTAGCTGCTTTGTAGCTAGACTGGTATCGAGCTACTGAGGGTAATTGGAGCGGGCTAAAATTGCGCTGCTGCTGCTAATATCCAGCATCTGTTGCTGCTGGGGACGACGGCTGACCCGTTGACGAATGACGATGGCGCATCCTCGTACTCGATTGGGATCTCCGATGAACAGTCGGAGCTTCCTCCCGCCCGTGGGGGCAGGTACATACGTGTAGCTGTGAGTAGTCAATGGTCAGGTACTGTCCCCTCCCACTAAGTAACTGATTAGTCGTCATCATCGTACTGCCAATGCTGCAATAGCAATAGTATCCTCGATGGTATGATACTTTGCAGGAGGATAGTACTATCTATCGAACACAACACTTCTTGGTGGTCTCTTGGCAATGCTGCTGGCAGCACGAGCATCTCCATTTGCAAAGGCGTTGTGCGATCGATGTCCGCTACTGCAGCAAGTACCTCGACCGCGGAGGTCCGATGCGCGACTGGGATGTTGGATGGAGGAGGGTGCTACTGCTGCTATCCTTGAACCTCGGGTGAACGAGGGCAGACCAGGGCCGACAGAAAATCCCTCACCAGGATCCTCGATGAGACAGCTTGGCACGGGCGATCGCCCGGTGGGGGGAAGGGAAGAGGAAAGGCGAGTTGGGACGGCGATTGGTATCATTATTGGGGGCCGCTAACTGTATTCGCAATTAACGTCGGTGAAGTGGGAGGAATTGGCCCCGTTACCGCGCTGAGTCGATGGAGTGACCAACTGACTAGCCGTCTAGTCTTGGTCACTACTGTAGGTACCAGAAAGCCAAGAACGAGCCTAGCGGTATCTAGTGGGCGCTCCACGGACGCCCGTGGTCGTGATCGCATTTTCGAGGTCATTTGTTCGTGCTGCTTGCTTTCTTTATGCACCGACTGACGGAACAATTGCCATTGTGCCGAACCTGTATTACCTAAGGTCGTATCTCTACCTGCAAGTAGTCTAGTAGGTGATGAAGATTGAATGTAGTAAAGATTACGAGGTGTAAGCCATGACTCTTGTCATACGCGCCAACACGCGCCGTCATCGTGCGGATAATTGTCTCACCCCCCGTCATCTATACACGGCTCGTACGAGAGGGTCGGCCGAAAGTGGTTTAGCATCCTTACGGGTAGCCGACCTTATCCCGAAGGGGAATTTCGTTGCCCCCATCCATTAGCCAACACACTGGCCTGACTGACTACTGACTGTGCTTTGCGAAGTCCCTCAAAGAGAAAGCCACCAAAAGTCGCATTAATTATTGGCAAATTGCCCCAGAGGCCAAAATCAATAATAAGGACAATCCCACCAACATTATGACTTTACCCGATTTCCCTATCGGACTGCCGATTATGACGTAGCACCCACTCCCCCCCATCTCCCCGGTGGCCTTGACCCCTCGACAAATCCCAATTCAGTGGCCAACAAACTCCCCTGCTGCCGACATCCGATGTGCCATGTCAGCCCCAGAAAAATTCTCTGATCTCGAACCCTCACCCCAAAATTTCGGAGCGGCAAAAACCAAGAACAATCGTCTGGACAAGGAAATGCAGCTAACTGGCTCCAAGGGCCCCAGTCGAAGCCTTCTAGAAAACGTCGAGAACGGCGAATCTGCGGGTTCGATGCGGTCAGAAGGTCCTTGTTGCCCCTCACTTTTTTGGGGCCTTGCATTCGGCTGGTCCGGTGGCGACCAGTCAGTCGAGTCCTAAGTCAGTCCTTCCCGACTGAGTATGGCGCTACTACTACGGAGTACTACTACTGTGGACAAATCTTGGGCCCCTCCTCCAACAATCAATCAATCAATCAATTGCCCTGATAAGCCCCATTACTAAGGTATTTTAGTCCGCGCTCGGGGAAGTGCGGGCTAGTCACTTAGTCTAACCCGTAGTGGGAGTTAGCCTCTTACTATCTACTCCGTACTCCGGTCTACTACTCCGGACTTTGGCAGTGGCGCGCCCGCACGGAATAGCCTCACTTTTCTCCATTTTGTATGGTCTATGGCTCCATTGCGGGATATAATATCATGCACTATTGTGTGGTCATTCATCACTATGAGGCGAACTTGTGACTGATTGATTTCTCCATATTTTCCTTTGTTCAGTCATGATGGACGACGCGGGGAGGGTCTCGGTCTCGGTCTCGGTCGTCTTTCAATCCACACCGGCAATACCGATGACCTTCTTTGACCGTTCTCGAAACCCTTTTTTTTTTGTTGTTTCTTTGGTTGCGATCATGCAGAATGCTTGCTTGCTTGCTGCTGGGTTGGCATCCCTCACGTGTCCCCTGTCTCCATGCATTGTTATGTAGGGCTCCACGTCCGGAGTAAGTAGGTATGGTACGTAGGTACATAGCTCGATTCACCTTCCCGAAGGGAAAGCGAGTCAATATTAGTATGAGTAGTTTAGTATCATCTAAGTAGATTAACTAGACGACGACAACGGACAACGCCATATCTCATTTCAGCCCAGCTGTCAGAGAACGGTTTCAACGAACAAAACAAAGATACTCTAACTAACTACGGAGAGGCAGGACCAAATAACCTCAAACCCTGATACAAAGGTGTCCCAAGCAATAAGAAAGAAATTCGACACAACCCCAAACCCAAATATCGACAACGAAACGACCATCACCATCACCACCAACGAACCAAGAGCGATTACCATCACCTCCCATCCTATGGTTCAGGGACAGACAGACGACAAGCGACAGCAGCCAGAACTGACATCCCGACCGAGAAACAACTCACCCTTCAACCCGTTCCACGGTTTGCGTGTGTGGGGAGCTTTTTTTGCAACACACACACACTTAGTAAGGTTAGTACACTTCGGGAAGTGAATTAGTTTGGTAAAGGTACTTTCCCGACTAGGCGAGGTACCAGGTACTAGTGCGGTTTTAAAAACAACGAAATTGGGGGACGCACACACACACACACACAGGTCTCTCTTATTTCCACGCGCGCGCGCCCATACCACTCCGGTGAGTGGGTGGGTGAGGTGTGGGTTGCTCCACTTCGGCTAAGAAGGTAAGTAATCCTGTATTGGGACTAGTGTGACGGAGAATCCAGGTACTGGGTTTGCTGGTTTTTGGTTCTGAATTTTAATCCACTTTGGGGTTTTTTTATCTAAAAGTATCTCCATCTCTCTATCTAGTTTGAGCTACAGTTAAGTATATTCGTGGGATTATTATTATTATTATTTTACTTCTCCAAGTAATTTATCTATCTAACAGTCTAACTGTGTAGAGCAATGGAGAAATAAATGGGTTTTAGTGTGCTCCACGATAGCTAGCTACCTCTCACTGACTAAGTGGTTTACTACTGTTGGCCTTGGCCCTGACTTTGGTCTGGTCTTGGCCTTTGGGGAAAATATGGGATGAGATGGGATGGGGATGGGGTAAAATGGGACAGACAACACATAAGGGGGTGAAAGTGTGGGATGTGGGATGACTTCCTCTCTTTCTTTCTCCATAGTAACTTAGCAACTCCTCCCCCCTCAGCTGACCTTCTATGGGCCTCTCCTCCCCCCCTTTCAACCCCAGAAATAGTAAAGTAGCATAGATAGGATCCTGGATCCTGTAGTTTGGTATTTTCCAGATGGCTGGGGGGGTTTTGCGGTTTTCGAGTCTTGGCTGACGTGGGTTGTTGTTGTGTTTTTGTTTTGCATACCGACCCTGTCTTGCCTTGCCTTGCTGCCCCAGGTTCAAGTTCAGGCCTACTAAGTTAAGTTCCCCTTAATCCCTGTAATAATACCGGGCAACGGTGAGAATCCCCCGGAATTCTGATCACCATGGACTGCATCCGGATGGTGATGTATGATTTGGGGGCGGTTGGGTGGTGCACGGGCTGTACACAGTACTAATTGCGTATGTATGCTAATCTAACTCATTACTCGAGGAGTTAGCTAATGGTAGTTACCAGTTCAGCCATAGTAGTAGTAGTACCTAACAATGGTAGCATAATCGGGAATAGCATCATCATAATCATCATCATCACCCATTACTACTACTGTACTCAACATGGGGTAACCTTCCCATTCGTCAGGAACATACCCCGACGGCGAAATTTCCCCCGTGAGGGAATCTCCCTATGCCCTATCCATCCAGAATCATCCTTCCCTAGGACACTACCTATCTAAGTAACTTAACCACCCAAACCGCGGAAACCGCTCAATCGGCCCCGTCGGGCGAGGCGAAACCAACCACCCACCCCCATCCCTTAACTAACCTCACTAACCAACCTAAGTAACTAACTTAAACCCCGGTGTACCTAAGTAAGTAGCACCGGAACTATCATATCATATCTGAATTAGGTATAACTCATCCTTCTCCTCTCCATCATTCATTCATTTCGAACTCCGGAATTAAACTTCGGGCTTCTGTTGGCCTGCTTGCTTTGCTTTGCTTTGGCCCTAGGGTAGGTGAGTGAGCGTCACGGTGAGAGAATGCAGTAGATGAAGCGGGATTACCCTCCGTAAGTTAGTGATGATGCTACAGTAAACTTGCATGTGGTTTTGAGTTAATTTTTATGGTAAAAGTTAGAGGTAAGAGTAGAGTGTTATTCTATTTCCCCGCGGCTGATCAGTTCAGCTCAGCTCAGCCCAGTTAGACCTTACCCTAGTCATTGATACAGGTAGATAGATACATGGATAGATAGTGTGTGATTTAAGTGATGATGTTCAGGTCATCGGAGCAAAAGTGAAAGGAAAACAGGATGAATCCGATCCGCGTGAAAGGGAAAAAAAAAAAAATCTCACTGACCCCATGCCCATGCCATGCCATGGTTTCGTCTTGCATGTGTACGGTCGCCTTTTCAGAGCTCTCTCATGTTAGGTTGGAAATGGATGAATGGCTGGATGGATGGATGGTACGGCAACCATAATGTGATGTGATGGATGAATGGGGCGCGAGGCCGCCCGCCCGATGAAATACTTTACCCTACGGGAGATGCAGTAAGTGTAGTATTCTGCAGGTATGGTTGGGCGGATGGGATTTCTCGTCCTCCTCCACAAACATCATCGGATTTTATCCCGCCCGCATCTGGGGTTGGATGGATGGATGGATGAATGGATATGCGTTATTTGGTTCAGGGCTTTCTCTTTCGTTCGGACTTGGGTGGGAGCTGAGTGCGGGCGGTATCGATCGAGACCCGGTCGGGATGACGGTGAATCCCCATCCCCATCATCCTACTGCTACTACTCAGCACGGAGTAAGTTGGGTGGCTTAAAGTTGAACCCTTTTTACATTCCGAAGCTTTTTTTGTGTTTGTTTGGAATAAGCAAATAGGTTCTATCGTCCGAGTAGTTAGAAGATTACTACATAGTACTGTGTATATTCATCCCACTGATCTTCATATGGTATATAATAGATGGGGAGTGAGGTAAGGCTGTATATTACAATAGAGTGGTCAATCTCGAGCCTCAAATTGACGGGATATATATTATGGAGATTTCAAGTAGTAGGGATCATCGAAGAAGAATACTACTAGTCGAACCCATCAACTCCGAGAGATGCTATTCTACAACTAGTAGAGCCAGCCAAGAACAATTATCGCCAATGTTACTCCGTAGATACCATACGCAGTTGCATCACTCTGAATCGCCCACGTAGCGTAGCGGAAAGCCGAACCTACTAAGAATATCTACGGCGTTGCTTGGAGATAAACTACTAAGTAACCCCCATCCGGATTCGGACAGCAGCAACTAACCAGCCCAACCACCGAAAAAGAATGTGGAGGAGGAGAAGGGCAGAACAAGAACAAGGATACCGTAACCCGACAACGGATCACCATCTTGGCAAAAACTACCGAAAGGGCCAAAAAACAAAATAGACACATTTAAGTATTACCTTGGGAGTGACTTGAGTCCAAGACAAGCCTTATGCGCGCTGAAAGCTTATGAAGTGCGGAGGAAGAAGTCACGAACATGGGAATTCCCTGTTTATCGGCGACACCATCATCGAACGGAAAAAAAAAGTCTAATAGCGAGAAGGCACTGGAAAACAACTGGAACAATCATCGATGGATTGGATGGATGGTTAGTTAGTATGTACGTTGTCAGGCGATCTGGGGCGCTGCGGCGGCGGCGGCGCGCGCAGCGCCCGGACGCGGGCTACGTGGTTGTGGATTAATGCCGTGCATGCATGCATATCTTTCTTTTCTCTTGTCAGACAAGCCATTTTCCAATAATCACAAGTACTATGCAGTTTTCTTCCTTCCTTTCGGGACTTCCGTGTGTATCCCTGAGGGAGATAGATTGCTTTTCCTGGGAATTCCGGAGAGATCCTGATTTGTCTGGGCTGAGCTGGGCTGATGGGAAAATGGCGCGTTTCTTTTTAGTAGTACTACTACTGCTAGTGGTTTGATTTGCTTTGCTTGACGGTATCGAATAGATAGATGGTCTGGGCTAACTACTCATTATCTGGAGAAGAAGCACGGGTAGAATCGGTAGGAGGAGGGAGAAAATTGGGCTGGCTGGTAAGGTTAAAATGATAGACGCAACCAGTTGCATCCATCTGGAAGGGAAAACGATGTAAAAATCTTGGTTCGCTGGGGTCGTGGCCATGCATGCATGCTTCCCACATCCTTCCAAGCCAACCTGTCAACCAGATGGCGTCGTAGAAAAAACGCCCAGGAAAAAATCGAAAATTGAAAATCGAAATCGAAATCGAATCGAGCAAGATTGGAAAAATGTCGCAACGTGCTCTGTACAATGGGCGGCGGCGGCAGCGGCAGCAGAAGCAGCAGCAGCAGCAGGGTTATCTGCGGAGACCATCTGGAACTGGGGTTTCGGTATGGTATGCGATCAGCCTTGGCCACAGATGAAGTCACCATATATACGAAAACGACCAATGCCCAGACGAGGCTATTATGGCTACTATTGTTGTATCATGAAACTATATTGCTGCGCTCATTTCAGTATTACTGCTGCTACTGCTGCTGCCAGACTTGGCTAATCAATAATGCGACGATAGCAGGGCCGAGAGTAAGGTAAGTAATCTTACTCACTTGATAGCAAGACCAGACCAATGATACGGGTCCCCCAGCAACAATGGGCGCAAATAATCCCAGACTGGAGTCCCGAGTACCTAGCCGGCGGAGTCGCATCCCGACGTCAACCAGTCAGACAAAAATGACGCTCTCCGATGGAGCCCATGGCTCCCCACGAGAGGAAATCGGATGAAACTCAATCAGGGCTAGATGCATGGGATTGGCGCACCGTAAATAAGGAGGGTGGAGAGCAGCACACCTTCCACTCCCCTCCCCCGTCGTCACACGCTCACAGGATGGGATGGTTGGAAAATGGTGGACGATCGACTCCAGGTTGGCATTAGTGCGAGATTGTGAGAAACAATCATCATCATAATAATAGCAATGCTAATATGAGAGGGACAGAGAGAGAGAGACTGAGCGAGAGAGGAAGAGAAGGAAGGGGGGGCGCCACAGCGAGGCGCGTGGGGACAAACTCGGGAAGTGCGTAGGCGGAAGATAACGAAGGGAGCGATTCGCAATGGTAATTGCATGGTAATAATAATTATTATTATGGGATGGGAATCAAATCATCCCATCCATTCATCCATCCATCCCACCGATAACAAATGATCGCACAGGAGAAATAATCCTGATGACATAATTCTGAATCTGAATAAGGGAAGGGGCAGCTGTTTACTTTCTGTGTATAGTGTGTACGGCTCATTCTGACCTAGATACCTACTTCCACTTTACTTTCCTACTAACCTTCTACGGGGCCGCGCATCGGGCGGGCAATGGAGTCAGTTCCCGAGTCGGCACGATCATCACCACCATGAATTCATCATCATTTTACTTGCTCTTCATTTCCTGGTGTGTCCCCTCCCTCCCCGAGACACGGTCAATCGGCACCAGGAATGGGAACTCAAAACGGATCGTCTGACAGCACCGACCACGGCCACCTACGACATGCGACGATGATGTCAGTTAATTCCGTAGACTGAAGAAAGAATCGAAAGAATCGAAGAAAACGTAGTCAATCGTAGGGAGTAAGTAGACTATCTATCTAGCTGAATTGTTTTGACCCTGCATGGCCGGAAATGGTATCATCCAAGTTCTTGGAACTCGCCCCTTGCGTTCCCGTTTGGCTCAGCTCGTGGTTCCAAGATCGGGTAGGACGGCCCTGGCTCTGCTACTCTGTGGCACAGGGAAACCAGTCATTCCAGCGCTTCACGATCGGAGTATTTCGCAGCAAGTAAAAGAGAGACGCTGATTCATCTCTTTAGTTGGTAGGTAAGTTAGTTAACTAGGTACTAGTTAGATAGTGTATGTATGTCTCGTCTGTAGCGGGCCTTGGTTTTCCTCAGATCATGTCCCTTTCATCCCTCTTGTGGGCAGAAGAAAAGAAGAAGGGCAACGATCATTTTCTGCAAGGGAACTACTGAAACTATGAAGTCCGATGTCATCGCTGTGCGCCAGGTGCTACGGAGTACACAGAAGGAATATGCCAATGATTAACACATAGAGGGTCTGATAGTGTGTATGTGTGTTATGTATGTATGTATTTGTCCCTTTCTTTCTGTCTCCTTCTATCTACCCTTTATTTTTTTTGGTTTCTTTTCTGTTGGTCTCGGCCAGACAATGCCGATTGACTTACCAACAAGCAATAGCATGATTGGGATGGGTTATTACTATTACTCTCATCAATTGCGAGGGTAAAAGGCGACGAGAAAAAATCGCGCATAGTAAAGAGAGCGAGAGTAGGGAAAGGATCAGGAAAATTAACGAGGGCCACCACCCGCACGCGGCAAAAAGGCCATTCACACGGTACAGTCCGTACGGTAAGGAATTATTTACCCAAGTGGAAAAAGAGAGCGCCCTGGGCTGGCCGAAAGGCCGACAGAGCCGTCCTCTGTCGGCTCTCGTACCCGTATCTTACCAGTAGCATACCTCAGGTCCATAGTGAGCTCCGAGGAAATAGAGACAAGCTCCTCCCGACCAGTGTATCGGGTGCGTACGGGGAGTCCTCATCCTTCTTGTTCTCCCCAGGATTTACGGTAGGGGAACGAGCGAGAGTGGAGGAGGGAGGGGAGAGGGGGGGCGAACTCGGCACAGCGCTGCCGGTCATGGAGCAGAGCAACAAGAAGCCATTCAGTAAGAGATCGAGACAAGACTGACTGGTAAAGGCGAACGGCGTAAGATGCCGTATCATTGGGTGACCGTCTGGGAATAGTCAGAGTTTTTCCACGGCCCAGACTAGGCTCGATCCGGGAGGTGGGATCCACTTGGCAAACTGGGCTGGGCAACCCAGACAAGGTAATGGAAGCGGGAAAATGAAAAACAAAAAAAAAATAATCATCTGAAATTCACTCGGCACTAGCGATGCGTCGGGTTAAGCAGAAAAATGTGTGTGCGTGGGAGGCAAAAAGCGGGTCCCAGTCACAACCTTACCTTACCAGGGACAGCGAACTTTCGATCAAGTGGCTACTGCTGCTCCCGGCCAAGACTAGACCGAGTTGGAGAAAATTAAATGAAGTAAAAAAGAAAATG